TTTTATAAAATCTGATAAAGATTCTTCAGCAAAATTAAGGATGCAATACTACTCTATAGGTACTCAAGATTAACATGAGACTGGCAGAAACTGTGTGTGTTATGTCCCCTTTAAATATAATTAAAGTTCTTAGTGGTTAGGGGGAGTGAGCTGTGTGTCATACCGCAGGCCTGGGAATTGGCTTCTGAGGCTTTTTAGATCCCAGTTTCTTCATGGCGTTGTAATATTTCTTCTGTTCTTCTGTCATGAAGATATCCTGACCTCCTAGGTAAAGAGCAAATGCAGAAGGCTGGTTACAACCACGGTTTCATTATATGTAACAACACAAACATAATGCAAGCAGGCCTCTGTTTTTCAACTCTGAACTTCAGGAAATGTCAAAGAGGCAGTTCAGCCCAAACCAGGTCCTATTAATCTACCACTGTTTGTGCTTCATAAACAAAACCAGTTCAATACGTTACCATTGTGTGCTCACTAAACAAAGCCACAGACTGTGTACATATCACATTACATTGAAAGTAAACTGAACAAACACACAGTGGTTGATTTGAGATTGCACATTGTAATATGTACAATATTCCTTATCAGTTGTGAATTATGTCTTACATTTTATTAAGGTGTTTAAATTCACCTTCTTCAGTTTAAATACTTATCTTTTTCTTCTGCTGATTGAAGTTATCAATGATGACACCAATGAAGAGGTTAAGGGTAAAGAAGGACCCGAAGATAATGAAGATGACGAAGTACAGGTACATGTAAAGGTTTGATTCATAGTCAGGCTGTTGCTCCAACTGCGAATTCAAGAAAATGTTTTGTGTTATTACACATTTGCATTACTAATGTGCATCACAACTTAATATTCATAAGAACACTCCTGCTCCAGTATAAAAAAAACTGTTCACGATTGACCATGTATTGCACTATTCATATACGCAACAGTACCAGAGGATATGTGAGCTTTTCAATGCAAAAATATTCTTTAGACATTTGATTAATTTAAATCACAGTTATTATTCACTTATGTATATTACATTTAAAGTCAATCATTAAATCACAACTGTTATTTTTTTTATTAATTATTAAATTGTTTACTTCAAAACAAGAATACAATAATTTGCCTTATTGTGTATCTATAATTATCATTATTAGTAAATTATTTTAAATATAATGTTCATTAATTCATTTAATTATGCACAGTATTGGTTAATATAATTAGATAATTAATATATTTATTAAACAATTAAAATGTGAACGTATTCTTTTTTAAAACAGTTTTGTAAATAGTGGCAGTAACGCTGAATAAACATTGAAATGCCCAATG